CATAGATAAGTAAATTCTATTTATATAATATATTTATCTCAAATTTTATTAAAGCACGTTTGGCTCAGTTTGTAAAAACCCATTTAAAGTTGTGGTGTATGTGTATCAACTATCTGGTATCCATAACACAAGCTTCGTAGCTTCCCATGGAACTAGATGGTGACATTAACAGTCATAAAATATATATTTATAATTATTATTTTCAGCATTAAGGTAAAGTAACTAAAACATAACCTTACATCTAACCTAATTGATAAAAATAATTACTCTGTCCTTGTACTCCATAACAAACTCCATTTATTTCTAATTATTAAATAATTGTGAAATACATATCGAGGTTACCGAAATTATATAATACTAGCGAGTAGCGGCTTTCACTCCGCTTGGGTACGTCCCTTTGTATGTTTTAACGTTTAGTATAGACTTCTCAGATATCACATATTTTCCCGCAGTAAAAACGTATCCTATATGTTGATCCGGATAACCAGCTATAATCATACCAAATTTCATCAAAATGTGTCCAGTCATTTTCTCGCGATGCGTTCCCAGACAGACAAAAACACTAAAAACTATAGATTTGGCCTCTGTATCAATATTAATGAGTATTTCAATAAGATTTTCTAAAAAATATTTAATGTAGAGCTTCGACTTAGAATGTTATTACATGTACCTATAAAATAATATATCATAAAACTAAAATAATATTTTGGCATTAATTATTATTTAAACCAGTCTAGGAGTTTTATTATTTATTGTCCTAAAAACTATTATCTACACTTCAAATCTAGATATTAGGCCCAAATTTGAAATTTAAATAATTTTAGGCTTTTATAGTGACTTATTAGTTGATAATAGCATTCGTGATTAGTAAACATTGTCGTTGTTATTGTGTGAAAGGTCGCTAAATCGATTTTGGTTTTTCAAAATGAAATATAGTTAACAATTTTATGATATTACTAGCGGCTCACCCTCGTTCCGCTCGGGTCCCTTACGTTTTAGCGTTTAGTATAGATTTCTCAGGGATGAGATATTTCCCTGCAGTAAAAAGTATCCTACATGTTGACCCGGATATCTAGCTATTATCATACCAAATTTCTCCAAAATCTATCTAGTGATTTTTTCGTGATGCGTTCTCAGACAGACAGACAGACAGACAAAAATTCTAAAACCTATAGATTCGGCATGTGCATCGATAATAATGACTATTTCAATAAGATTTCCCAAAAACAATTTAATGTACAGATTCGAGTCAGTATTTTATTATACGTATAGATATGTATAAATTCATTTCATGTATCTCGTAAATGGCTCTAACGATTTGGATAAAATTTTGAATTCAGATAAGGTTCTTTCTTGTTGAAGCTTCTTAAGTGTATCTACAATCTTTATGTATACGTGAATTTCCTAGCCAAATACACAACATTACAAACATACAACTGCCTCGGTGGTGTAGTGGCTAGCATGTACGGCTGCACACCCGGAGGTCCTGGGTTCGGGTCCCGGATCGGGCCAAGTTTAGTTATTGAGTCTTTCTGTATAGTAAGTTTCAGTGACAGCCCGGAGTTGGGAAGTTGGCGGTGTTTCACCCCCGTGCCTCGGAGAGCACGTAAAGCCGTCAGTCCTGCACCTTAACTTTCACCGGTCGTGTCGAGTAGTCGTCCCACCGGAGAATGACAGTGATAGGAATAGAGAGTGCACGTTGTGTCTGCGCGTACACTTGTGCACTATAATATCTCCTGCGCAGTTGGCTAGTCTCAATGAGATTGGCCGCCGTAGCCGGAATCGGCTAGGAGAACATCATATATAAGTATTCTTTATGATATATAACATGTTCAAAAACTTTTCAAAAGATTTTTAGTACCAATATATTAAAATAATATTATATATGTTACTTACTACTTTACTCATAAACTAGGAATCTGGATGCCAAATAATTTCTCTATTGCAGTATGCAAGAAAGATAAAGTAACAAATACTTTCACTTTTATAGTATTTTTATATAATAAGCACTATTAGTCTAAGATACGGTATTAGAAATACAAAACCTCATCTATTATTCGATGATGACAAACATCAATATCGATTTCTATCAAAACAAATATGGGAAGTTTTAAAAAAAAGGTAATTAAAATTAATATTACTAAGCAGTATTGACCCGTGAGTTTGCTAGGCAGCCCATTTGTGATTTAGCAATGTACCCACTTATTATCTGTCACATAATCTTTGTCATCATCAAATAACAGATGAGGGTATATATTTCTAACACTGTATCTTATACTATATCGTAAGTTGTAAAAAGTTGATAAGATTTACCGATACTTTTCTTTTTTTTACCGTTGTTTTGTCTTTTGTGTAACTGTATTTTTGGCATATTGGATCCCTTGTCCAGCTGGATACCTGAGGTCATAGGTTCGAGTCCAGTGCCAGGCTAAAATGTTGAATTATTTCGTCAATAAAATCCGATAAGCAGCTTCGAGTTGAGAATTAAAACAATTCAATTAATTTTGAGCTAAAACTTCATTGGATTTTGGCTACAATTACAAAATCTAACGCATGTAATGTGTTTTTTTAAAAACAAACTATATTACAAGAACTCAGAACGATGAATCAAGCTATGAAGGTGGGTGTGCAAATACTCCAAATAGGCAGACAAAAAAATCATCCTTGTCTATTATATATAATCTGTACAAATTTTTACTTTATAATATATAACATTATTTAATTTAAGTTTTCTTTGAACACTACAAATTAATTATAAGGAATTATAAAAAACAAATATAAATATTTAAAACTGTATTTATTTTACAATTCATTCCACTCTATTGGTCCATCCAACTCAACACACCAATTTACAATATTCTCACCACTTATCATATAAAGAGGTCAAGATGGTGTCAGATAACAAATAATATATATAAAAAAAGATATTATAAAACCAGTTATAACTTTGAAATAATATTTTATATTGAGAAAAATATCGAAAATCCATAAGGCCTTCAAATATAATATATTAAAGAAAGTCACTTTTCATCAAGAAATAACTTAATTAAGGTACAAAATTATTTTTTCAAATACATGTTATAATAATACAAAAATAATCTATTGAGCGAAAAAATTGGTAAGAAGTAAAAATTGGTAAGACAAAAGAGCGTTGCGGAATCATTTTAAATAAATTATAATAAATCTTTTTAATTTCGTTTCGAATAATACAATCTAACATCACATTAACCCCATCTATTTACATTTTTACAATCAAAACAATACTTTAATTACATAGTAAAAGCGGGTATCTTAAATAATTTTAATTTATTCGATATACTTTTCTATACATTATATCCTATATTAGAAAATCGTTATATTTTTTTCTAATTCGATTTAGACACATCTAGATTTTGTGTTGTAAACTAGCATTGCCGGCGGCCCCGCCCGCATTGAGATGACCAAAAACAAATGCTTAGGTTTTACATATAAGTATACTCTTACATTGCAGTTTTTGTATTTTTCCCAAAAATGACACATTCTCCAACGATAAAAAGTATCCTATATGTTGACCCGGATAATCAGCTGTCACCATACCAAATTTCATCAAAATCCCTCCAGTAGTTTTTCTGTGATGTGGTAACAGACATACAGACAAAAATTCTAAAACTGTAGATTCAGCCTCTGTATCGATAATAAAGTCTATTTCAATAAGATTTTCCAAAAAATATTTAATATAAAGATTTGGCTTAGTTACAATTTTATTATATGTATAGATTTTGTTTGGAAATATACATGGTGGTTCTACAATCGGAAACGGTAATGCAAAGTAATTTGTCACTATATTCTCCGGTCATAAAAATAAATTACATTACTGTTTCAAGGATATGTACGTAAAATAAACTGAGTTGACCAAATTTACTTCGTTTATTATTTACTATAAGCAATATTATAGGTACATGAGTAGGGCGTGTTACTTTTCTAAAATAACAGGTTCGATTTTCATCAATAAAGGATTTTTTTTAATTAAAAAAAAACAATTCATTTTTAGGAATATCCATACTGTGATCAATCCTTTTGAAAAATTTCTTATAAATCTGATTATGACATCCCTATACAAGAATAATTTCAATACATAATTTTAAGTATCACACAAAATCTAGATGGGTCTAAATCTGTATATAATTTTTCACTGTAATGAGAAACAAAGCATGTATTGGAGACTATACTGCAATTTATTATTATTCTCATAAGCACCAATATTAGAATTATAATTTGGTTAACATTAAATATAATATTAATATATTTATTTATACAATTGTCTTAATAAAAATCCAGCATTAATTTGGACATATTTCTCTAGATAATTACATAAGAATCAAATATTCAACTATCAAGTATAAGTTTAGGCTTTATTAAAAATTTGGACCAGATCTGGTCCTATTACTGTCAAGTATAGGCCAATATAAAAGTTAACAAAAATAATTTTTAAATGATTATAATATAATTAGATGAAACATATATTATTACATAACCATAATAAACATAGTATTTATTAAAATTATAAATAAAGATAACATTAAAAACTAATATATATAACAGCATAATGTACTTGATTGAAGAGTTTAATAAAGCACTTAAAAACAATAAAATTATTATTACAGAAGTTTTAACATTTTAGTTAAAATATATATAGAAATAAATACAAAATATCAGTTTTTGACTAAAAATCTTCCTTTAATTTCCAAGCATATACTTATTTTATGACGTTTCTCGAAATATGAACCGAATTTATATAGTTTATGGTATTCATACTAAATTATTTATATAAAATCTAGTACGTCTAAAGGCCGTTAGAAACTTCATGTTAAGTAATGATATTGTAATTTATAATTTAAACAATTAAATACATAAATTATCCTCTTATTTACCAATGTTAATATTAAACTGAAATTAAAACATTTGAAAACTTAACTGTAAAACTTATTTTGTCAGTTTTTTTATTAACTGTTGTGATTTCACACTTGAGTGGCATTTTCGATAGCATCTATGAATGTCTCTTTCACATCCCCAGTTCGTTTTCGCGTTTTCGGTGTCGGATTCGATATCGTTCTAGTCTTACCTAATGTACTTGCAACATTTACACTATATCCTTTCAACTCTCTGCTTGAAGCCTTCAAAAGACTTTCATTCTCTGTCAGAGTAACTTTTAAAGGCCTTTGCTCTGAGGATCTCATACTGTGTTTATTGGACATAGCCTGTAACATTAAAAGTTGGTTATGAATATTTGGTGAACTTAAACTATTTCTTGGAATAGTTGCATGAGGAGTCCCAGGTGCTGGGGAAGGAGCAGGTTCCAGTTCATCACTGGCATCTAAAAATCCTGACTTATTAACTGGACCTAAGTCCATTTCACTTTTGTTCAAACTGTAATAATTTGCACCATTGCCAAATAATTTCATGTTAAAATTATCATAATATGGAATAACACCATTTAAAGTAGAAAACACTTGCGGCCTTAGAGTGTTATCGGGGTAACTTAATCTTGGCCGTCTAGGTAATGTTACATATCCTTTCGTTGTCACTAGCGGCATCTCTTGGTAACTGGTATTTTGAAGCCGGCTGTAAATTGCAGAGTTGATAGAAGATATACTGTATGTGGGAGATTTTGGACTTTCCATTACCAGAGGTCTTTCTTGGGTGGATACGCCAGTTGCTGGAGATATCTGGCTAGTAGGTCGTAGAGGAAACGACAACAAGTCTGGTGGGTATGCCTGAGAGTCTGTAGGCATGCGATCTAAGAGTATGTCTTTAGATATCTTAGGTAGCTCGATATCTTGTCGATTGTGCTCTTCACTCGGAACTGTGAACAATATTAAATTTTCAATCATATTTTACTTGTATTCTATTTTTTATTGAATATATCGCGTGCGTTGGTAAATTATTGGTAGCTCATGCGGTATTTTTATGAAACCAATTTCACTAGGCAATCAAATATCAACACTCTATTTTTCACGGGCAATATTTAAAAAAAATATAGATCTGCGTATTTGCACTATCAAATGGAATATGTGAATTTATCTAAACTATCTTGTGCAAACTTATACATAAATATTTATGAAATTCCTGTATAAAAATAAGAACACTTTTAATACCTGAAAATCTCCTTGAAACATACGAAATCATCAAGTATAAGTATTTTTATCATCTTTTTATCACCTTACTTTATTATTTCATCAAAATTTTTAAAAACATTAACCTTTTTTAAATAGCATGTTAATAGATTACTGATAGTTGTATACTGTGAGATGAGAAAAAAATAGTTCTTTAGCAATTAATACGCATTCTTAGAGTGTGAAAATGGTGGTACTTAAATGACTCAAGGTTTACAATTTTCAATTTTATTACAATGAAAAAAACCTTTTTATGATTTTTAAAAATCAATTGAACCATATTTATTTTGTCACATTGATATGACAATATTAATAAAGATATAAAAAAGATACTTGTGTGTATCGACGACACGTATGGCTCAGTTTTTAGTGACCCTACTTGCTGTGCCAGCGGACGCGGTTCGAGTACCGTTGGGGACATTTTGTGTGATGAGCACGGATGTTTGTAGACCAGTCACAGGTGCTTATATTTATAATATGTATGTATCAATTATCTGGTATCCATAATCCAAGCCTCGTAGCTTACCATGAAACTAGACGATGCTGTGTGTTAATATTCCAACATATTTATAGTTATTATTTATTTATTTTATCCTATTATAAATAGTTGGACTTAATAAATTCTGTATATGACTTAGACAATCGAAGTTCGAAGTTTTCGAACGATTCGAAGTTTTCCTTAATTGAGATATAAATTTGACTAAAGCCATCCATTCAAATTATATCCCATACAGAAGGTTATGATTAGATTGTCATCTCATAAATTATGTATGTTACATATAACTAACGATGAAACCTAATTCAAACTATTTAAAAAAAAACGTATGACCAATACACAAAAATTGGTTAAAAATTGTAAACTACTATTTCTTTACGTTTCGATACAATAGCAACCATATTTCTCAAAGTTGGCACAGTCTCTGTTGTCTTTTACTTTAATTTTGGCACAAAGGACTGTAACTTCGTTAATTTTTATAGCAGAAGGCACGACAGTTAAAGAATGTTTCATGAAAATAGTAGTCTGTCGACTTTAGTAATTTATGAGGGACCGTCTCGTGCAAATATAGTTAGAAACGGCAAGTTAAATTTGAACAAATAACAAGTTTGTGTCAGACTATTACCCATCAAAGTTGTCTTGATTTTACTGTTATTCGTGTACATGAAATAAATAATTCGTGGAGACACAAAGTTTTTAGTTACGAAACTGTACCTAAGTCATTGCTTACATTAAAGGTTGTGGCTTTGATTTTCAATAAATAAATATACTATTATTATTTATTATCTATACAGATAAATAAAATTGAAGTGTGTGTTTGTAATGTCAAAATAACAGCTTTTTACTAAATGCATAATATGGAATTATATACGATATTTATAAGAAAAACACAATTTTTAAAATTTTTGTCTGTCTGTCTGTATGTTTGTTTCGGCTAATCTCGGAAATGGCTGTGCTGATTTTGACGGGACTTTCACTGGCAGGTTGTTGATGTTATAAGGAGTAACTTAGGCTTCTTTTATTTCAATAAAAGAATTAGGATTCCGCTCAAAAAAATTTAAATTTACCTAAGGTCCAATGAGTCGCTATTAATTAGTATAATTTTAATATTATTTTCGCTGAGCCATGGTATGGCATCATAGACCATAGAAATATTTACTCCTATTTGGCAAATGCCATAAAACAAGTACTAATTGCGTTGTATCACGGTATATTTCACAGTACAATTTTTTTTTCTACTTACTCTTCCAAAATGTCATAAACAACAGATTTTTTTATAAGTTACGCTTCCAAATGATCAATGAACCAGGCACAAGATCTTAGGTAAGTACGAAAAATAAAATTGTAACTTTATAATGCGTAAAAAATATGCTAAAATATACTTAAAAGCTTAAAGTGTTAATGAGTTTAATGAAACACTCCTCGCGTAATCGCAACTTGGCCCGACTTTAAATATACTAAGTTAGAAAATTTGCGAGGGTTGTTTACGTTTGTAACTAACCTTTGTTTTAAATTTAGTATTTTGATATTAGCACATCAAATTAAAGTAGACAGTGCCTTACTCTCAAAATTATAATAATAAATATAATAAGACTAAAGTTCTGAATTGAATATTTTATCAAAAATGTACATCTGTTAGTTGAAAAATTCAAATTTACCCTTTTATATACATATATGTAAATCGTGTGTCTGTCTGTATGAGAATTGGGTCATCTTTAATTATGCAGGTAAGTTTTGTAATGACTATGACCTGATAAAATGTTAAATATGCTCGTATGGTATAACCACCTTTTATTGAACGGAGGCCCCTGCCCAGCAGTGGGACATTAAAGAGGGCTGTATACAAGTTTTGTAATAAGCATGAATTTATTTATTAATAAATACGTTAAGGGGAAAAAAACTTATCGCGGAGGAAATGAGGATAAGTAACATTTAGCAATATTATTGTGTAAGATGGGTCTTGCCCCAAATTTGAAATTACCTTTCGCAAGAAACTAACTTATGTTTTCCATATTTTGTACTTTTAATTAATATAAGATTTTTTTAAACGAGTACGTGAAATATTAAATACAAGAAAAAAAATTTTTTAAAGGGCTCCTAAAGATCTAAATGTTCAACTACTATAATTTCCAAACGGTTCTAAATTGATCTTTTGGTGAGGACATAAAAAAATAATATGTTTAATATCACATGCGTTTACTTATTGAATAAAACTTGTGAATAGCGGAAATAAACGGGGAAATTGAAAGGTAAATATTAAAGACTTCGTTTTTCCGATAGGGTGGGCGAAAATATGAAAAGATTATCGGGATGAGGCGGAAATAAAATGTTCTTAAAGTTTGCGTCGTAATATATGTCCGTTAGGAGAGTTGATGTCCAAATATATTGTCAGTGTAATGTGTCTTTTAGAATTTTTTTCAAGATTATGTATTGGTAACTACCTATGTTTGTGTTTTTAAGATTTATGTGTTGTTTTGTAGTAATGTCATATCGTTAGACTAAGGCAAACCCAGTTTTCTTACGATTTTTCAACTGGTTTTGAATTTGCTCTTTATAATAGTTAAAAATGCCGCATTTTATCTTATTTATACAGATATTATATACATATGTTTATTTTATACAGGGTGTCGAATCCGTAATCTCTAACGTAGTAGGCATCGACAGTCAAATACGATTCTAAGACTTGGTATTATACTTATTATTTACGTGCACATGCATATAATTAATGATAATACGGTGTTTGCATATAAATGTGATATTTCATTGTAATATATATCCTTATACTTTTTCAAGCCTTTTAAACTAATTATGCTTAATTAAAATCTTCTTACCCAAAACAGTGTCGTTATCCAGTAAAGTCTTATTAAGCTCCAACATTTCTGAGGCAGCGTTTGCGAGGGACGGGGGCTCGTACTTTCTTGGCGGCTTAGTCACGGGATTAATATCCATCTTACAACCTTTTTCGGCTTCTGAGGTGACTGAGCCCTCTATTAATGCCTCTCCGTTTGAAGAACGAGTGTCCGTTTTGATCAGTCTTTTCAATTCACCGTTTTGTGTCGTAAAGTAGCATACAGCTAGCACCGCTCCAAAAATTAGAACTATAGATGTCAAACATCCCACTAAAATGGCAAAGGAGTCGGCATCCATACCGGCTATCGTTCCCGCCCCACCATATTTTGAGAGAACCAGTGTTAATGTTTTCTCATCCTTACCACCAGGATTTTCGGCAACGCAAGTGTAATTGCCTCTATCACTATATCTAGTATGAAGTATTGTCAAATTCACCCATCTTATTAAATCCATTGTATTTTCAGAAATTATGTACCTTATTTCACCGAAAGACCTCAGCTCAATTGTCTTGCCATTGAACCGCCACAGAACTTCTGGGTTCGGGTTTCCAACGACTTTGCAAATCAGAGTCACGTTTTCCTCATAACTTTTGATAGTCGCGTCCGGCACTGGCTCCAATATAGTAGGCCGGCAGGCAAAGTTCGAAGAATCTAATTCGTTCCAAAGTTTAGAACGGACGGACGCGGGTTCCGCACACGAGGTCGGCGGCGTGTACAAATTGTGACTGATCACCCAGTCTCTGAACGTTTGCAAATTGCAATCACATCTCCAAGGATTGTTGTGTAGATCCAAACCCGATAAGTTTCTTAACGCCATCAAAGTTTCCGGTTTCATATGGCTCAAATTGTTCCCGTCTATTCTCAATATCTTTAACTGCGGCAAGTTTACGAACGCCTTCGTTCCGATCCTGACTATTCTGTTATTGCTTACCTCAACTTTTTGAAGGAACTTTAAATTGCGGAATAGACCGTCCTCTAACTTATCGATAAAGTTGTTGCTCAAGTTTATTAATCTTAGTTTCTCAGTGCCTTTGAATGTATCTGCATGAAGATTTCGTATTCTATTTTTTGATAGATCTAACTCAATCATAATGGCAAGTGTCATGAACGCTGCCTTATGAATAGTTTCTATATTACAATCTCTTAAGAAAAGTTTTTTTAAGTTGCTCAAGCCCACTCGTTTAAAGGCTTCTTGGTGTAACTGTAGTAAATTATTGTTAGATAGATCGAGTATTTGTATATCACTGCTGAGATTAGCTGGCACTATTCGAAGGCTTGAGTTTGAGCAAATTGCTGCTTTATTTCCAGATTGCCACCTGCAGTCACAAGGTCTTTGGCATTCCGTTGTAAAATCGGCTATGGTTGTAGTCGTCACGAGGGATATGATAGCCATACTCAGCCATGTCTCCCAACATTTGTGAGCCATTTTGTTATAGTGGTCATTTCTTCGTTTCCTTGCATTCCTGAGTGGTACTCTTCACTGGACGCATATGTGATCTGTAACAAAGAAACATGTCCTCTGTATATATTCATATATGTAAAAATCGATGTGTGTATGTACCTTAATGTATATGGACTCCAAAACGGCTCGAGCGATTTTGATGAAATTATCAGGCAATCTTCAGATTAGCCCAGTGGGTGATCCTGTAAAGTAGTTTGCTAGTACATACTTAATAGATAAAATATTAATTTGTTATTTAATGAGAAAAGTTATTACCATTTTTGTTCGATATTGATGTTAAAAAATTATTGAAATAAATTCTGTGGGAAAGTTTGATTATTTTATACCTTAATGTGTATATTTAATGTTAAGAAATATAATAAGAAAGGAATAATAAATATAAAAATATTCTAATCATTAGCACTGTATTTTCTTAATATTTTTTCTTCTTTTACTAAAGCTTTTTAATTTTGATTTCAGAAACTTAACTTTATGATCCATATTTTATGGTTTGAACCTAAGGAGATAGCAGGCATCACGCAAGCTTGGCGTTTTAAAATTATAACAATAATTATAGCTTTTGTAAAATCATTCTTAGACATTAAAAAACTTTCTTTTACTGGCAAAAACTAAACCTAATAGACATTTGTTTGAAATTTTCTTACACGGAGTACCATACTTTTGAACGTAGGTTGCGTAAATTGGGCTTACTAATATACGTATAAGAGAAAACGCGAGATGTCCTAAATATTATGAAGGTATAATACTATTATGTTTTCAGTGAGGTTTTTATTAGGAGTCACTTCTGAATTGACCAAATAGCGGCTCCCTCGAGGATTTCTACAGCAAAAAAAATATATGTAATTTTGAATTGTTAACATATCAGTCAATCAATTTCATATTTGATCCACCCTAGCCCTAAATTAATAATTTTGATGTTTATGTATCTTTTTAGGTAATTAAATTTCTATTATATTTCTATGGTTTGGACAAACCCTAATACGTATTTACACATACTTTTGGTCGCCCAATGATTTTCTGTGCATTTCAATAAAATATTATATTGGTTATATTTAGTTATTATCAACTAAAATATATATACTAGCAAGCAAAGTCACGCGTAGGTAGTTCTGATATAAAGAAGATTTAAGCAACACTCCTCCCCGCAAAGGACTGAGTTATTCATCTTCTTATTTATCTCTGTCGCGTTCGCTTCGTATTCATGACATCTTGTAACCACATTCCAAATAAAATACAACTTCTTAGAAATAAAACGTATCCTGTACGCTGGTAATGATTTTGTAACTGTTTTGCTATGTAATGTACGTGGATTTTGCAGGTATTTCTTTTTCTAATACCTTCACGACCGCGGACACGCCGGCGTTACAGTTAACAATAGATTTCTTAGAATTTTAATTAATTTCTTAGAATTTTACCTGGAGGTTAAACAATATTTTAGTTATAAAACTATGCAAATAATTATCTATACATATAAAAAATTCTTAGCCAAACCTGTACATTAAATGTTTTTTGGAAAATCTTACTGAATTAATCATTATTATCGATACAGAGGCCGAATCTATAGTTTTTTATTTTTTGTCTGTCTGTCTGTTTGTCTGGGAACGCATCACGAGAAAACCACTGGACAGATTTTGATGAAATTTGGTACGATGACAGCTGGTTATCCTTTTTTTTTTTTTTTTTTTTCCCCTCCCCTCCGCCTTAATGGGACGCCGCAGGATCGCTTGCGCATAACTACTACGGCGCCCCGGCGGCAGGTCTGCCAACGGCTGACCACCACACCGATGGGGCTGCTCCACAGTCAACTCTGCTACACCAGAGAGGTACCCGGAGCAGCCCCATTAAATCGAACCTCCGCCCACCGAAGTGGGCCACCTCCAATCGGCTGCAGAGGACAGGGAGAGCGGCAACGAAACACCGACACTCCTCTTCCCCTGCAGCCCCACAGCTGGTTATCCTGCTGGTTAGCTGGTCAACTTATAGAATACTTTTTAGTGCAAGAAAATATTTAATTTCTGAGAAATCTATACTAACCGTTAAAACGTTCGTAGAGACAAACCCGAGCGGAGCGAGGGTGAGTCGCTAGTATCTGTCATTTAAAACTACCTTAGTCAAAAATCTTCCGCCTTTGAAGAAATATAATTTAACTAATTATTGGTTAAACAATTTACACTCAAGTCTAGCTTGGATTTTGTAATAAACCTTTATAAAATATCTTGATTTAAGAGTCTATGAAAAGGAACAATGAAGTGATAAAGTGCTAGAATCGTTAAATACTTGAAGTTTGAAAATTCTTATCAAAGATTTTCATTTCACATTTTATCTATACATTGTATGTAACATAACAATATTTTTATATAAATAATTTTTCTTGTCGACCAAAAGATACATATCATTTTTGAAACAACCGTTTTTATACGCGAATGGCGTGACGAGCCAACAGATTACATATATTTATTGTGTTTGTTAAACGTATTCCAGTTATAAAAACCAACGAGTTGTGAAGATTGTCGCAAAAACACGAATTTTAAGTTCACAACCTTTTGGTATGGAAATTCTTAAATATTCATACTTTAGAGTGCAGCTTAACTGGTTTCTTAATGGGTGAAATTTGTTATATTTGCTTTTTGACACACTGAATTTTTTATACTGTATTTCGGCTTTTCCTACTTAATAAATACTAAATAAATAACCTACAGTACATAATAAATTTCATTTAATGAAAGAATTTTTGAAATCGGCTCCGTAGTTTCAGAGATATTCCTTTCATACAAACATTTATTGTTTACCGACTTCAAATACGGAAAACTCTATTTAGCTGTATGTTTGTATGCTTAATCGATAAAGACTTCGATGCATCATTGGAACGGACTTGTTGTGCCCGCGGTCGTGGGTTCTAGTCGCGCTGGGGGCATTTATTTGTGTGATGAGCACGAATCTTTGTACTTCAGTCATGGGTGTTTAATGTTTATATTTATAATATGTATGTTATTAAAGTTATATAAGTGTATCTGGTATCGACAACACAAGCCTTGTAACTTACCATGAAACTAGATGATGCTGTGTGTAATGTAGCAACATATTTATTATTATTATTATTACTTTTTTGACACTTCAATTCAATCAAAAAGAATTTTCAATAAAATGAAGTACTTCTAGCCCTTAAGAGGTGAAAATTTTAATTGAATTTAATAAAATCGTAAAACTTATTAAAAGATAAGAAAATCAATTTAAGCAGGCCGTTATGCGTTGGATCTCAAGAGAGCGGCAATATTTTACATTCAGCCACCATTAATTACAAGGGCTTACTAAACAAAGGTTCTGATTTTTGACAATTTCGGTTATGATGAATTGTTATTTGTCTTAAATGTAGGCGTTATTTTACTATTAATGAAAATATATTAATGGTTTCAATTATACTTTCTTAGATTTACACGAATATTTGATATTTTAAGTGAAACTATATACATAAGTCTCTTCTGTGACCGTTATTGCTGCGAACTAAATTAAGTTAACTGCCTCGGTAGTGTAGTGGCTAGCATGTACGGCTGCACATCCGGAGGTCCTGGGTTCGAGTCCCGGGTCGGGCCAAGATTAGTTATTGAGTCTTTCTGTATAGTAAGTCTCAGTAGCAGCCCGGAGTTGGGAAGTTGGCGGTGTTTCACCCCCGTGCCTCGGAGAGCACGTAAAGCCGTTGGTCCTGCACCTTTACGCTCACTGGTCGTGTCGAGCAGTCGTCCCACCGGAGTATGAGAGTGACAGGAATAGAGAGTGCACGTTGTGTTTGCGCGTACACGCGCTGCACTATAATATCTCCTGCGCAGTTGGCTAGTCTCAATGAGATTAGCCGCCGTGGCCAGAATCGGCCAGGAGAACATTATTGCTGTGAAGCATTCGAAAGGTCAGGAACCAAAAACAAAAGTAAATCCACAAAAAAATCCGAAAAGATAGTTTTATTTAAAAGGTTTCAATTATATTGGTTGTGAGTTTAATTTTTATAAAGTAAATATTTAATCATTAGTTTTTGTCCAAAGATTTGTGTGATTAAAAAGCTCGTAGCGTCTGGCGTGAAGAAGAAGACAAGGAACGCACTTCGGAGGCGTGAGGTGTTAAGTGCGTCCGTAGGTACTACAATTATTTTTTTGAGCGGAACTCCAATTCTTTTTCTAAAATAAAAGTAGCCTACGTTACTCCTTATAGCATCAACTATATACCAGTGAAAGTCCCGTCAAAATCAGTCCAGCCGTTTCAGAGATTAGCTGGAACAAACACACTCAGAACGGACAGACTGACAAACATTTTAAAAATTATGTTTTTCTTATAAGTACCGTATATAATTTCATGCGCATTTAGTAAAACGCTGTTATTTTGACATTGCAAACAGACACTTCAATTTTATTTAGCTGTAGAGATTAATAATATACATATTATTAGATTATTTTAACATAATATATAAGTTAGACGTACATATATCTTATATACAAGATAGACGTACCTACATATATAATAGAGTATACTATATATGTACGTAGGTTGGGATGAATGACTTTAATATACCCAAGGGTCAATTTAGGGGAGATGGATGATCATAGGATAAAAAGGTTCTACGATTTTTCACTTGATGAAAATAAATAAAATATTTATTTGACTCTATGCTATTTTTAGGCGAATGTTAACTTTTTAAGTTATAATTCATACTTTATATAATAAATGTGAAAGTGTGTTTGTTTGTTTGTTTGTTTGTTTGTTTGTTTGTTTGTCTTTTTTTCACGTAAAAACGGAATGACGGATCAATGTATTTTTTTTGCGTGGAGATAGTTGGAGAGCTGGAGAGTGACATTGGCTACTTTTTTCGCTGGAGATAATCTCATTCCCACGGGAAAAAACGTTATAATACAACCCAAAAATTATTTATGATCAGTATTACTAGAAACTTGGTATTAGCGCTCTTCAATACAATTAAA